CCCCCCCCCCCCCCCCTCTACTACCTGGTGGTATTAACATGATGTTTGGAAAATGGCTGGAAACCATTTGTTGGAACCCAATTGGTTGAACCAAATGTTTGAAGAGTCTCTCAAACCATTTTCACGTCTGTAACAGCAACAGCCTTTAGTGGGGGGGGGGGGTTGTTAGATGAAATATTATTAATCTCTAAACTTTACATGGTCCCACTTTTTCATGAACTTCACTTCTCACACAGTGGAAACAAAAATATTTTTTCAAATTTTGAAAGAAATTCTTAACCTATCGTTGTTTATGCCTATTTGCCTATGAACTGTAAATGAAAAAAATATCTAAAGTGATTGGATTTTGATATGTTTAGTTGATTTATCGGTATATCTCTGCACTTATGAAAATGTACCCACAGTTTGTCAACACCTTTGAACTATATTTTCATAATTGGTATAACATATATTTATTTGCTAAAAGAGAATGTAACACCTCTTTCTCCCCACTGAAATGTCATTGGATTTAAAGAGATTGTCATCCACGTCAAAATGTACACCCCTCCCCCCCCCCCCCCCCCACCCCCCCCCCCAAATCCCCTCCCCATGTTGTGTGTTTACTGAAGCAGGTTAATTATTTATCAAATTAATTCTTAGGCGTAGATCGTGCGTTGCCTGGGACAACAAAACTGGTGGTAAGGTTTTGGGAGTAATCCTAGTAAGTAAGCCCCTCCCCAGAAAATTATCGATCAATCCAAAATGATGGGATGCATTTTGGTGCATGCATGAATTTAGTTTTGCATCACTCTTACACTTAAATGGCTAGCAACAAAAAAAAAAGATGCTAGTTGAAATTTAGGCTACCGTGACCATGCATGGGTTACACAATTCCTTTAAATTTTAGTTCATCTTTTCTTACCTCAGATAAAATTACATACCGGTACCGGTACTAATAATTATATTACACCTTTTGTAGACATTTCCTTTATTCTTTTTTATATTATTTACTTCATTCAGAAAGCATTGATTAAACAATGACCTGTTTTAAATAGCCACAGGAAAAACGATAAACCTTTTGTACCAAACATTATTTGTCTTTTTTTTTTTTTTTTTTGTTTTTTTTTTTTTCTACTTTAATTTTTGAAATAACCTGCTTAAATTTTTTTTTTTATGAAGTAGTTTAAACAAATAAATATTTTCAAAAGGTCAAAGTATTTTTCTCCCCCCCCCCTTAAAAAACCTTTAAAACAAACATGGGGATGGCCTACCATATTTTATGTTTTGAATGGTCGTGCGCCCCCCCCCCCCAATTTAAATTTACGTTCAACACTTATCTTAAACTTAAAAAATACTTATTTTTATTTGTTTGATAAAGAAATCATGATTGAACCTTAGTTGCCTTTGCAAGTTTAGATACTTGATAGAATCGGGTGATTGACAAAACTTTTTTCAATTGTGAATATGATAATTCATGTATGTTTAACAGTTCATTATTCTTGTTTAAAAAACGTTATTCCATTTAAAGACATTTATGTCAACACATATGTTTCATATAACTTGTATGCACATACCTGTACAGTAAACCATTCTGTTTTGTAAACTAACCAGCCAATGGTCAAAAACAGTTTGTCAAAACTTTTCACATATTTTTTTAACATGAACATGTGTTTTTAATTGAAGGAAATGTATTGTGTGACCAAGATGTGTTTTTAATTGAAGAAAATGTATTGTGTCATCAAAAAGACTAACATTGGATGCACTGTGTAAATGTCTTACTAAGCTGATGATTAGATTGCTTTATCGCTTGGCACACTGCTTCTGTTCTCATTGATTAAAAATCCTATCAGAGTGAGTTGTGTACATTGCTCAATGTTTATTACTGTTTAACTATAGCTACTTGAAACAAATTAGTGTTTAACTATATCTAGCTGAAAATCGAGCACACAATCTATATATAAGACCTCAACAAACCAAAAGTTAGCCGGAGACACCTTGTACGCACTATGTCTGCATATTTCACCATCTCTGCGCAAAGTCGGCTGAAGGATGTCCCTCCCCCCCCCCCCCCCTCTACTACCTGGTGGTATTAACATGATGTTTGGAAAATGGCTGGAAACCATTTGTTGGAACCCAATTGGTTGAACCAAATGTTTGAAGAGTCTCTCAAACCATTTTCACGTCTGTAACAGCAACAGCCTTTAGTGGGGGGGGGGGGGTTTTTAGATGAAATTTTATTAATCTCAAAACTTTACAT